ATGTAAAACAAATAGATTCCATGTTGCCGTGCGTCTGTTCAGTAATAGATCACAGAAGACGTCAAAATGTGGTAAGAACATCAGTGACACACTCGCCTAGAGCTAGAGTGACACACTCGGCTAGAGCTAGAGTCGCACGAGGCTATCGCCTCTTACGTTTCTCTCGTGCTTAGCAACCTCCTGCGTGCATATATTTAACAAATTGACGTTAGTTTTTTATGCGTCTGTCCTCTTATTGATGATAAATTGCGTCATAGCATTGTCAAAGTGGTAAACTTTGACAATGTTATGACGAAACTTATCATCAATTACAGGACAGACGCATAAAAAACTGACGTCAATTTGTTTTTTACAATAACAAGATCCCAAAATAGTCAAATGCCTGGAATAAACGAGGGGAAAAGACGCCGTAAACTTTCGATAAACAAAGATAAGTGAATTCTATTCAAAATGACGCGAACATTTGATTGGCTACTTAAAAAACTCCATAAAATCTCATTGGTTAAAAAGTTGACAGTTTGACAGCTGAGAGTTGAACTTGAAAGCGTGCATAAATTAAAATCTTATCCGTCTGTACTCTTATTGATGATAAAAATGAGCCAATCAGCGCGCGAGGAATTAGACAGTTATTGATAGTTGCACGCTGCACGCTTACCATTTCTTAATTCTCTCGTGCTTAGCAACCTCCCGCGTGCATATATAACTCGATAGCTGCACGCTGCACGCTTACCATTTCTTAATTAGTACCTGGTATAAACCTCCCAACTCTCCTCCTGACCTGTTTAACGACTTTGAAAATGTAATTGGAAAAATTGATGGTTCTTATTGATATGAATACAAACCTGTCACCAGGTGTCTCAGATAGCAATACTTCCAAACTCATCAATGTTTGCAAGATTTTTGGTCTTAGTCAACTGATAACGGAGCCAACGAGAGTAACAGTTCATTCTCAGTCCCTAATAGACCTTTTTTGCTTGGGCGATTTGTTTCCCCATTACAGATCACGTGATATTCTCTAGAGAGTTGTTCTTTTATCCATCTAAAAATTACTTATGAAATGGGCCAACAAACCGCCCAGTCGAAAAAGGTCTATTGACCTATGCATGACTAATACTCCGGACAAAATAGTTAGATCAGGAATTATGCCGTTAGGTATTAGCGACCACTCCCTTGTCTATCTAATTCGCAAAATACATTATGTTATCCCTGGGTGTATTAAGATTATCAGTACTCGAAGTTTTAAAAATATCAATAGGGACCTTAAGCAATGACGAGGGCGTCGCCGGCGACGCCGAGAACGACGTCCAGTAAAAAAGAGCTTTATATTTTTTCTTCGAACTTTGCTGCTGTGTAGGTTTGTCCAGTGCACCTATCTGTCTCAGAACTTACTCAAGTTAACTGTGTAATGCCAGCATTGAATTCCAAATTCAAATACGAAAACGCCGTTCTCCACAATACGCAGAACTTGGTCATTTCACGATTCACGTTCTTGTTTTGCCGAGGACGGCTAAGAAATGTAGAAAGATTTATAATGCATGTGCACAGCCATTGGTCTACTCATTAAGCCTTTGCATTGCGCATCCCTACTGGGCACGATTTTCGCGTCATTAGCGCGCCAACAGGAGCGCATGCATACACACAACGTAAGAGATTTCCATCAATCTGCTCGACAGCGAAATCAATTGTTTTCTCTTAAACAAGAACCAAAAGGTACCTTTTTTTATTAAATTAGTCTATAATTCATTGCCTTTCCACTGAATGAGTGAGAAAAATTTTAACGTCTGGTAAAAAAATTACTGCCAAAAATGTTTACTTACCCCTTCACTCGTGACCTGAACCTTTCCACCGCTAGAAGACGCACCCTAGAAAGACTTTTTGTCAACTCTGATCCAAGATGTACATTTTTGCCAAGAAACACATATCAAACTGTTCCTTTAAGACGATGCAATGCATCTATTGAGAATTTTTAAAATTAACTCCATGTGTTTGGTCACTGATACCCAGAAACCTAGCGGCATTCAGAAAAAGAAAAACGCACTTAATGGATACCATTGCACGGATTTTTGACGCACCTTTGACGAGTTGACTCTTAAATGAGCATGGTACATATGTCTTTTATCTTACATTTCGAAGACCTGCATTATTAGGAACAACCACAAAAAATTTGAAAAAAATCTAACGTCAAGTGTTAAGCCCTGGCCAAACGGACTCGCAAGTAGACGCAAGTTGAAAACGAGGGTCTACTTGCGACTCCGTTTGGCCAGGCCTTGCGTGCACTTGCGTTGACTTGCGATGACTCGCGCTCACTTTGGTCGAGATCAAATTTGCACGCAAGTCCACGCAAGTTTTTCACCGTTTGGCTACCGAACGCAAGTCAACGCAAGTTGAGTGACGTCCATTAACCTATTATCAGCCAATGAAATACAGGATATGTTTACCTTGAAATGGGTTTTTTGCGACTTGGGTGTACTGGCAAATAAATTTGCGAGTCCGTTTGGTCACCCAACGCAAGTCTATACGCAAGTTTAACTTGCGGTTACTTGCGACTATTTGCGAGTCCGTTTGACCAGGACTTTATTTCTAGGGGTGATTCCTTAGTATTGCATTGTGCATCCCTACTGCGCACGATTTTCGCGTCATTAGCGTGCGTACATTAGCGCGTGCGCGTACAAAACGTAAGAGATTTCCCTCAAACTAAGCTCGGTAGCGAAATAAATGCTCCTTTTCTCTTAAACAAGCACGATGACCCCCACTTTCCACTTCATAATGTCAATGGGAGCAATATCCTCAATAAATGCGAAAAAAATTAGCAGAAATCTATGCCTACTTTTTTGGCAAACGAAATAAATACTACAGAGGGAGACATATCGGGCCTAATAGCGCATGTCCAAATTATGTTTCCTTCAAAGGATAAAAAAATGCAGGGTATTTGAAGACATTTTTTTCTGGGACGTGGATGAATAAACAAGCAACGAAAGACAAACTCTGTCTGATATAACACGCTGCATTGAAAAATAATCGAGCTTATTTGTTGCGCACGGAGATTACCAAAATTCACCTAATAAATAACCGTATTTGTCAGCACTGTGGCGTGAAAACGAGCACGGTGACCCCCTCTTTTTTAATATCTCCTTGTCCTGTAACAACGGCATACCAAGTTTCATCGGAAATCTACGGCGGGTTTTTATTTACTAGGGAATCACCTTAAGGTCTCTTTTAAGGTGGCCGAACACAGTTTTAGCGCGCTCTCTTGCTAATGTTATTCAGTGCGGGCACAAGGATTACAAAAAGCAAAGATGGCGTTGATAGAGAGATCATTTTATTTGCTCAATGCCTGCGCTATCTGTATGCTGCTTCTTCAAATTGAACAAAGTGTATTGGTGGTTTTAGTCTGTTATTACAAAGATATGTTGAAAAAAGGTGACGATGCAAACAACCCAGCAATTCTCAGCTTTTTCTTTGTTACTAAAAGAACCCAGTTAAATGCAGCGCATGCGTAGTAAGTCGAAAAATTGCGATTGAATGCGGAATAGCTTTCTCGAAAATACGCCTATTTCTCGAGAACCACTCATTAGAATTTTACGAAAGTTTGGCCCGAAAACACTTTAGGAGATAAGTAACTGGAGTATAGAAAAAAATTGAGATTTAACCGAAGAAATTATAGAATTTTAGTGAACTTTCAACAAGGGATAATAAAAGATCTCTCTGTTAAATTATTACACCTTTTGCTATTCATTTACAGAAAATATCCATTCATTTGACTCCAAATTTGTTTCATTATGGTCAATATACTCTCATTAACACCAATATGACCTTCATTTGCGCGTAAGGAACCTTCAAGAATAACATTTGCATATGTATTAACATTCAAAATCATCGAAAGATAAACAATACCKTCCTTTGACATTCATTGGCTGTAAATGTATTTTTATTTTAGTCGAAATAAAATTCGTTGTCACGAAACGACAATCATTTACACTTTTGGACATTCCTTTTTCAACAAAAGACTGTCAATAACAGAATTTGCATGAGCACTCACAATCAATTGCATTATTATACAACCATATCCGTGAAAGTGACAATCTTTAGTACGATGAGACGGATATTACCGTGTTTTCACCTAACACAGCGAAAGGATAATCAGGGCCTAAATGTGGACAATGGTATCGTTTCATGCAAACATATTTGCCACGATGCCTCGATAGTGAGGCAATTGAGGGATAGATCGTACAGCAAATTTAACATTCTCTCTTCCAAAAATAAATGTTATCATGGCTGTAATGTTTGTCTCACCGCACTTAAGATTGTCATCTTCATGGATATGGTTGTTTAATAATGCGATTGATTGTGAGTGCTCATGCAAATTCTGTTATTGAAAGTTTTTTGTTGAAAAAGGAATGTCCAAAAGTAAATGATTGTCGTTTCGTGACAACGAATTTTATTTCGACTAAAATAAAAATACATTTACAGCCAATGAATGTCAAAGGAAGGTATTGTTTATCTTTCGATGATTTTGAATGTTAATACATATGCAAATATTTTTCTTGAAGGTTCCTTACGCGCAAATGAAGGTCATATTGGTGTTAATGAGAGTATATTGACCATAATGAAACAAATTTGGACTCAAATGAATGAATATTTGTTGTAAATGAACAGCAAAAGGTGTATTAAAGTAGTGTTAGCTTGTGAGCATCGCTAAAAGCTTGTTACATGCAAATAGGCCCTTTGCACGATCCGGTCACATGGTACTGAATTAATTATGCTGGGACACAAGTTGCACAGTGGGATTCCAAAGCAAAGAAACTCGCACCAGTCCAGCCCGACTTTCCTTTGTTTTGGAAGTTCCACTGTGTAACTTGCGTCCCAGCAAACTTAATTCCGTACCATGTGACCGGATCGTGCAAAGGCCCTATCATAGAGAAAATTTAATGACTAGATTTTCTGCAAATAAACAAAGCCGATTTTAAAGGCCTGTTTATATTTATTCATGTTGCCATGGATATGGCACACACGCACCTTATTTATCAAAAAACCGAAGTTTGTGTAGTTAACTTGCTTGCTGCCATTTTTTGGCGACTAAAGGATCAGGTGAATGAAACACAGGTATCAAAGACTGTGTTCAGCCACGTTAGGAAGGAGTTCCTAGCAGACGTTGAATTAAGACAATGGGATTCCATTAGTCTATTTTCTGACTCCAACGAAATATGGGAGTTTTGGAAGAATCAGTTTCTGACCTATAACGATAAACATGCCCCTATAAAAACGAAAAGAATTGGGAACAAGACTTGGCTTCACACTAGAGCTTGTAAGTATAATCTAAGTACACTTGGAACCTACTTTGAGTGTGAAGGGGTAATTCACAATACTGATCCCTGTTACCCTGCAAACGACCAAAAGAATATCCATGTCAAGCGCGTGTGGTAAACAAACGTTTTCAACATAGCATGATTTCCATTGACTAGTTCTGATGCAAAAATTGCTTACCTGCACTTGAGGCTTGGCAAATAACTGGTCTAGATATTACACTAGCAGCTCCTAGAAAAGGTTAGTTTGATTCTCATGATGAGTGCAGAAATCGGTCGAGAAACGACAACCTAATCTCCATTCGCAACGAAAAATGTGTCTGCCATTGCTCCGGCTGAGACGGCATATGATTGGTCGAATACTGTCACGTGAACTGTGTCCAACACCGCCTGGCTGCACAGCGTCACGTCGCGCGAATTTTGAAAACTTGGCACGTCAGTCATCTGAGTTAATTTGTCGGGTACTTTCGCCTCCTTTCTATGGCCCTCGTTAGCTTTGGTTAACGGCATTGTTCGGTATTATTTCACCTCCTTTCTCTAGTCCTTGACTCGCTATAATTCACGACATTGTTCAGTACTGTTTCGCCTCCTTCCCCAGCGCTGGCCCCCTCTTTTTCGCGATCTTCTTCGCTACTTCTTTGCCTGTTAGTTCTTGCTTTCTGTTTTTTTGCTTCAGTGCAACCCTATCTTAAAAACATTAGATCAACCTCCGCTTTCGTTTGTCCACATAACAAATAGAAATGAGTTTTAAAAAAAATGGCATTCTTCCGCTACAAACCAAGGGTGCATGTCTCTGTCAACCTATTGGCTGGAGTACGGCCGCCATGTTGGGTAACCCGAAAACACTGACCCCGGTCCGCGGACCCCCACTACGGACCGGGTCCGCGGACTACCTATGGACCGTAAAGGTCAGTTGACCGTATCGGTTACGCAACTAAATGTCAATCAAAGCTATTTACTAAATCAAACGACAACAGACCTGGATTCAGGCTCGGGTGCAATTTCAATCATTACACATTGCTATTTCCTTTGCTGTGGCCATAAACTATACGAAAGACGCGTACGGGGAAGCCTCCGGGAAGCCTCGAAATTTGTGCTCTTTCCCCTCTGCCATTTTGTTGAGCCCATTTTCCCGTGGGTTCGTGAACTCGTTCCAGGCTTCACAATTTGCTCAGCGGAATAACAGATACAAACAACAGTTAACGGTCTAAAAATATATCTTCCATAGCCTGATTGAGCCACGAATGGAAGGTAAGAACTTTCCTTCTTAACATCGACATTTTCGTACGCTGAAAACAGCTTTTAGGCATTTTTTTGGGGGGGAGGGGTGGGGGGTTGGGGTGTTAAAAACCCGAGTCTATTACATTTGCACAGTGTAACACTCGAAAAGTCACCGACACAAGTCTGAATCTATTAGACAACCCATAAGTGAAATCTTTATTTATTATTTTTACACTATCTTAGGGTGGTCCGTAGAGGGGGTCCGTAGGGGTAGTCCATGGACCGGTCCAGTCAGCGGACCCGGTCCGATGTGGGGATCCGCGGATCGGGGATCAGAGTTTTCGGGTTACCCCGCCATGTTGGGCAACTCTGCCGCCGTCGTCGTCGTCGTCGTCGTGCGTACGCGCCCACGAGCAATACCGCTAGCCATGAAAACCATGAGAAAATCAATTCATGGGTTTCCTTTTCTTTCCTATATGAGTATGGGGCTCCGCTTGGCGGCTCTTCGGGCCGCCGGAGCTCCGCTATCAAATTGTCACGGAACAGCATGTTCTGTTGCCACCTTTGCCATTAACAATAAAACGACTAAAATTTAAAATACACACTGATATCGATTAATACAACTGAGAAGCGTTTCAGCGAGAGGTATTGAAAGTAAACACCGCTACTTGACCGAGATTATATCCTTCATCGGTGAACGAGTCTCCTCAAAGACGAATAAAATTTATGCTTTCAGTAGGTACCACGGAGTCTGCAGCAATATTTGAGCAGTTTCCTGGTTTTTTTGTACAATTTGACAAGTTTTGATACCACTTACTCGGGAGAGTTTTGGTTGCGGGTATGAACATTTTGGTCTCTTTGATAGAGACAATAAAAGGATGAAATAAACGCACTAGTGTAGTTTGGAAACAACAGATGATATTTCTTGAACCAAATTAGGCGTAATTCCAAAAGACACGCAGTCACAGTAGCATTCTTGTATCGTGCTAACTATGTTAGAATGCATGCGTATGACTTATTAAAGTTCTACCACAAGGAAAAGCACTCGACGTTAGTGTGTGATCTTGTATGAAATGTATCTTCCACCTGATATGTAGTTGACACTAATGCTTATTAATCTGTGCATGCGTTTGGAGCAAATATTGGTTTTGTTCTAAAGAGAAAAGTACCACAAGGAGAGCAAGAGGCTTCCTGAATCAAATGTGTAGCTTTTTGAAGTGATTAAAGAAGTAACGTACGTACATGCACCTCCCATTTTACTTAGTGCTCACAAGTACCTTCCCCATCCTACCCCCCTTGCGGCAAGCCTAATTAATTAAAATTGAAATTAATTAATTATACAAGCATTAAAGTTTACACCTTATTGCCATAGTGCATAGGGGCATAGTGCCATAGTGCCATAGTGCCATAGTGCCATAGTGCCATAGTGCCATAGTGCCATAGTGCCATAGTGCCATAGTGCCATAGTGCCATAGTGCCAT